GAGACAAAATTCTATAGAGGAGGTGATAGAGATAGATCATTAGATCAATCATCTGTAGTTAGCATGCTTTGAAAACTGAAAGAGGTTAGCATAGTTGGAGACAAATTAGAAGAAGTAATTCTCTATTAGCCCAAGGTTCAATTTTTCCATCCACCATTATCTGCTTCTATTTTGGAAGAACATACAACTACAAAGAACAAGAAGGAGTGTCCAAAAGTGGCCCTGGGTACCACTCAGGGTTGCCTGGACAACTAGCCAGCTGGGAAGGGGACTCTTTTATCTGGAGTTTATTAAAGCCCAGCTTCTCTTGGGTCTTAAAGGTCTCTACATGCTATGTGGATGGTTTTACCAGACAACTACTCTGTAAAGCTGACACCTAATCTCAGACTCTGAAAATCATCGATTATGCCAACACTGCCTATTCAACAGAGCACCATAGTCCAGCACGGCTCTTCACGAAGATGGTGATAAATTGATAATTATAACTTACCACAGATGACAACAGAGCTTAAGTTAAAGGAAATCAGAGAACCTCCCAAAGACTTTCATACAATCCTCTGAATCAAGGCAGCAGTGGCTTTTATTTATTCAAAAGGATGTTTTAAGAATGAAATCAGGAGTATAAACTGTGCCCGGGAGATTAGTTTTCTCGTTCTTGTCCACTGAGACACCCTCCGTGGGAAAGTTAGTGGTTGCTCTCATCTTCTCGTGTCTGAACATGGTGCGGACTAGAGCAGACAGTTTCCTGGGCACCTACAGAAAAGTGGTGGCTGCCCGAGCCCCCAGGAAAGTGCTTGGTTCCTCCACCTCTGCCACTAACTTCACTTCACCTTCCTGGAGGAAAGCTGAAAATAAGTATGCAAGAGGGAATCCAGTTTGTGTGCGCCCAACTCCCAAAAGGCAAAAAGGAATTGGAGAGTTCTTCAGACTGTCCCTAAAGATTCTGATAGAGAATCAGATTCCTGTAGAGGCAGGAAGCAGTGGTTTAGGAAAAGGAAAGAGAAAAGTACATTCTTTGCCACCTGATGACACAGATGAAAAAAAAATAGAACTTTCTTATTCATCCTTGGCTAATGTCTCCTGTTTACTCTGGTATCCTAGGATGTAAATTTGCATAAATGTATCTGTTCCAGTTAGCTTTGTTGAATAGGCATTTAATTAAAAAATGAGGGTCACATATAGTTATTCGAAAGCAACTAGTTATGTTATTGGAAGATTTATAAGATAACTATGGTTACTTACCTTAGTATTCAATATAATGCAGTGTTTGGTTTCCTTTGCCTGTTATTAAGCTTCTTGCTCTTGCTAAAAATAAATCATTGCATGTTGTATACAACAAATCTGCTGTATTGGAGATTTGCTTAGATTTTTGTACTGCTGCCATTTTTATTGGCATTAGATTTTTTGGGATGGTGCCATATTTTTGTTCCTTTTATGTAATTTAAAAAGCAGAGTTGGATCTCCGCACATTAAAAAAAATCAGTATTAATTAAACCACACCTATATCCTTTTTAAGAATGGGGGCCAATGTTGAAAAAATTTGATGGCTGTCTTCTCCTTAGAAAAATGTAAGGGTAATTTGATCCTGAGGGTTTCAGGTAGGAAGATTTCATAGACTGCATTAAAAGAGAAGAATTTTCTTAGACTACGCATTTGATTTGGTATCATAAAATAGTACCCTCTGGAAATCAATAAAACATGAAAGGCAAATCATGCCATAAACCTAGAGCTATGTCTAAAGTTCTTAGAGCTACCTTTATATTTTTCAAGATAACAGGGGTATAAATGACGAGGTGGGTATAATATTACTTAGTAACAGTTATTCTTGCTTCCTCATCACATTTTTTATTTTTGCTCACTGACAGGTGTTGTCAAAATTAACCACGTTTTAACAGATATGTTTTTCTGAAGTTTGTTTTTAATAAATGAATACTTATTTTCACAATTAAAAAAAGAATGAAATCAGAAGTCTACACTTTCCCAATAAGCAACGGAATTCCTTTTTGAAGTATAGAGACTATTTCTCTACAATTTTGCACAGTGAGCAAGACTTCACAATTGTGGCTGAAATCTCTGACTATGACATTGGCATGTGTGAACGGGGAGCTTGCAAACTGGCCGTCTGAGGCCTGGATTCAAAGCTAGGTTCTGAATCTGTATTTGAAACCAGGAACTTCCATGTAAAAATCCAGACTGGGGGCTTCCTTAGAAAAACCGAAGGGCTGACAACATGGGTCCTTAACCTTGTGTGGTAACAAAACGCTAGAAAAGGGTAGTCACCACCTCCTTAGACTGCGCATGGTCTCTTCAGCTCATCACCATCCCCCTCCTTCCTGCTGTCCCTAAAATGGTTTCTATATCAGTTCCTCAGTTTTTCTTTTTAGTAACCATGTATTCTTGTACCTTCACAACCACTTGTTTTATTGAAAGAAAAACATCTCTGTTCCTATGCTGCTATTAAAAGTGACAAACTAAAAGGCAACCTGAAAAAAACCTCCTGCTTAAAGAAAAATTGTCCTTTATTGAAAAGAAAAGAGCAATTTCTTACTGCCTAACAAACACATAGCTAGCTTCCTGGGTCTTTTACATTTCCTCCTCTGCCCCCACAGCATTTGAATTCACAGCTCCTGGTATAGACAGTCAACACTGCCTGAGAAGTGAGTGGAATGTAGCAGCTCATCCATTGACTTGGGAATTAGCTGACATGCTAAGGGGCAGACCTTCTACATACCTCTCTGACTCCATAGAATAACATAGATAAATCTCTCACTATGACTAATCCACTCTTACCTTCCTAATATCCTCTAAAATAAAAGGCTAATATGCAAATCGACCAAACGGCAGAATGACCAGTCACTATGATGTGCACTGACGACCAGGGAGCAGATGTTCAACTAGGGAGCGGGGAGTGGGCCTCAGTAGGCAGGCGTACATCCCCCAAGGGGTCCTGGACTGTGAGAGGGCGCAGGCCAGGCTAAGCGACCCCACCCCACACCCCACCCTCACTGCACAAATGTCATGCACCGGGCCTCTAGTATCAAATAAACCCAAAAGGTACTACTACTAATTTTAGTACAGTGGGGCCTTGACTTACGACCGTCCCGACTAACGAGTTTTTCAAGATATGAGCCATCTCTCAGCCGATTTTTTGCTTTGAGTTGCAAGCTAAAATTCGGGTTACGAGCCTGATTCAGATACCCCACTGCTAGTTGGCGCAGCGAACATCACAGTGAACACCACAACATCAGCCCAGCATCACATGTCTCACTCATTCACTGTTGATTTGACATACGAGTAATTTGAGTTACGAGCTCTGTCACGGAATGAATTAAACTCGTAAGTCAAGGCCCCAATGTATTTACTATATGTACAGTACTATTGTAGTGCTTCTATATATTAATCTGTTTAATCCTTACAACTGTGCCAGGTAGGTACTATTATTATTATTATCCGTATTTTACAGATAAGGACACTGAGGCATAAGCAACTTGCCCCTAGTACTATTAACATCATCCCCGCATTTTATAGATAAGGACATTGAGACACAAATTACTTGTCCAAAGTTATACAACTAATAAATGGTAGGATTGATACAGGAACCCAGGCTGACTGCACCAAACTCAAGGGAAAGGTTGCAAAAGATCCAAAGGTCATAAAATCTTTTGATGATCTGAGAATAAGAGGAATTAGAGGAAGTACTTTGTAGCTCAAAATCCAAATATGGAAACCAGTGATGTGGCCATGCTAGTTGGCCTCATTCTGCAAACAAACATCAGTGAACCCAGCGGGGACCTGGCCAGCAGCAGCAGCAGCAGCAGCAGCAGCAGCGGAGACGAAGTCATTGCAGACAAAGAAGGGCTGGTCCCAGTTCCCAGTTGGCACAGACCTCCTCTGACCCGGAGTGTCTCCTGGTCCTCAGGTTTACTTTCTGTGAAATTAGGGCACTGGACTTGATGCAGTGAAATGGTTTGCTCTAATGCTCTGTGATTCTGTGACTAGTTCACAATCAAGCCAGCATTTGTCTAAGAAAAAAAAAAAAAAATGGATCACTGGCCCTGGCTGGGTAGTTGGTTGGAGTGTTATCTGGAAACACCAAGGTTGCAGGTTTGCTCCCCAATCAGGGCACATGAAAGGGTCAGCCAATTAATGCACAGATGAGTAGAACAACAGGTCAATGTTTCTCTCTTTCCCAAATCACTACGGGGTGGGAGGGGCAGGAGGGGAAGAATCAGTTTCCACTTTTCCCATCACCTGCACAAAAGCTAGCAAAGAGAAGAGAGTGCCCCAGAGGGACCCTGAATGCTACATGACATTTCTCCTTCAAAGAGGGACAAGTACCCTTGCCTCCGTTGGGCCCCAAAGTTCAGAATCTGCAACAATCACCTCTTTGAAGCCTCCTGCCCCAACCTACACAGACACAGCTAATGGCTTTCTCAAGGCCCTGTCCCATCTCAAAGTCCCCACACCTTCCCAGTGGTCAGTGACAGGCAGGCCCCTGCATCAGCCAGGTCCCTCGCCACGCTTCCTTGGTCTCTGCATTCTCACACCTCACACTCCACTCGCACACAGCAGTTACTCAGAGATTGTCTGAATGGTCAAAATGTGGATGTTAGTCTTTGCTATCCATTTTCTGTACCATCCCCGATGAGCATCTCAAAGCTCTTAGTACTTCTACTTCTTCACGTGCAAAGTCACAATGAAATTGTTTGACCTGACCACAAACGTTCAGAAGTTCTGAAATGGGAAAATAGTAAACACTACAGAAAAGCTAAGACAGGCAGGCGGCCTGGGCCTTCCCACCACAATGCCGGAAGCACTGGGTCTCAGGGACTCTCAGAAAGGCCCCCCTCCACGTGGTCAGATCAGGTCTTTGGCCTTTGGGTAAGGCTGTACCCAACTAACAAAGAAATACAAGTTGGTTTCACTTTTAAAGGGTTCTAGCCAAACTCTGAAGTACAGTGATGGTTTTCCAGGCTGGGTGACATCGGGGGAAACCTTCCTGTGATGGAACAGCCCCAATTCCCTCCCCTCGTCTGCAGTCCTCAGTGGAGGCAAAGAGCATCTGCTCATGGCCAGCAGCTCACATGGATGCCCTGCTCATTCACAGCCTGGACTCCAGACACTGGGCACAGGGAAGCGGTGGTCGTACTTTATTTTGGAATCCTGGTAGTCCCTGAACGAATGCCACAATTACTCATTTGTTAAGATTGAAGACAGAAAAGTGCATGCCAACATGGGCTTCTCGAGAGCTGTGGTTTACCAGCCCACTGACCCCACTCAGACCCTATGAGGGTCTTGATTGTTTTACACAGAAAAGATTCCATTGATTTCATCTGCCCGCCTAGGAAAACTGGATTATGTGCAAAGTCATTCAGTGGCCCTTCTCCTGGCACTGTAGCCAGCATGTAATCACTTGGGATTCTAGGTTCACATGTGTCATTACTTGACACGAGGAAGTTAGTACTGTTAATTTCTTTTTAAAGGGTACTAGAAATAGCACACATGCTCATATGTTTCTCTCTGGAGCCCAATTCTTCTGCCTATATACATTTAGCAGAAATGTTCTTTAAGTATTTTGCCTCTTGGATGAATGCCTCTTCCTTCCAGAAACTGCTCCATGCCTTACCTCTCTCTCCGCCATCAACCCAGCTTCTGAAAATGAACCCCCCATGTCCCAGGACCCTTAATCCCCTGAGCAGGATCCATAACTTCCCATCGCTCAGAATCAGGTCTTTGGGTGCTTGTGCCTGAACCTGAAAAAAAGTCTTCAATCACATGTGAATTATATCTAAATGAAGACCCATAATTCTCTGTGGCTTCTGTGGTCTGTAAAGAACTGAAGGGAGAGCCAAATGTTGAGGAGCTGGAAGAAGGATACCTTTACCCTGACTTGTATGAAACTGTGGATGAGCTGGGGTGACAGTCCTCATGCTTAACGAAGGCTGCCCAGGGTGGCAACATTCCTAGTCCCAGCTGCTGACCTGACTGGCACCCCATATTCTAAGGGTGGGCAAGGCAGGTTGGGGCGAAGATGGGGGAGTGAATGAGAACATATATACAGGGTGGGGCAAAAGTAGGTTCATAGTTGTTTGTATAGAAAATAATACC